ACTGATCTTTTACTTTCATTATGCATGATATTGTTGTTATGTGCTGTTGAGTCACATGTGACTCATAACGACCCTATGTACAACAGCCCGAAACCCTATTCTATCCTGTGCTAATCTCACTATCTCTTACACACCTACCCTGACTACCCCAGTCATTGAATCAATCCACCTCATAGAGGATCTTCCTCTCCTGCGCTGTCCCTTCACCCTCTCAAGCATTACGTCCTTCTCCAAGGATTGGTCCCTCTTTGCAACATGTCGAAAGTATGTCAGACGAAACTTCAGAATCCTTGCCTCCAAGGAGCAGCCTAGTTTAAGCCTCTCTAGGATGAAACTGTTCATTTTCTTAGCAGTCCATGGTATATTCAATACTCTTCTCCACAGCTCAAGGGCATCAATTCTCCTTCTATCCTCCCTAGTCATTGTCCAGCTCTCTGACACATAGCAAATGATTGCAAAGACCATGGCCTGGATCAGGCACACCTTAGTCTCTAGAATGACACTGTTGTTCTCTATACTTTTCGCCATCTCACAACTCTTCTGGTCTTTTTTTGCTCATTGCATCAAATCTACTCTTCAGATGGGATAAACTCAAGGCTGTATTTTGGCTCCCATGGTCTTTTCATTTTCTTCAGCTTTAATTTGAAATTATATATAAGCAACTGATGGTTTGTAACACAATCAACCTGCAGCTTTGCTTTGACTGAGGATATTAAGCTACTCAATTGACTTTTTCCATGTTGTTGTTAAGTGCTGTGGAGTCGATACCAACTCATTGTAACCCTATGAACACTGTATCTGATCCTTGCCCTATCTTGTGCCAGCCTCATCATTTCTGTTGTACTTCAGCCTATTATTATAGTCACTGTGTTGGTCCATCTCATTGAGAGTGGTCTTCTCCTTGATGGCCCTTTCCAAGGACTGGCTCCTCTTAAGAATATACCCAGAATATGTGAGAAGAAGTTTCATTATCCTTTCTTCTAAGGAGTACTCTGCTTACTCCTTCCCCAAAATATATGTTTGTCCTTTTGACAATCCATGGGATATTCAGAAGTTAATTTGATTTTTTGTGTATTTCATCAGGTGAGGTCCAAGTGTACAGTGGTCATTTATGGTTTTAGAAAAAGATTTTTGCACTGAATAAATCATCGATTGTATAAAATGCTATCACTACATCTGTGGCCTCTTTCTATCACCACGTCCATATTTTCCAACTACAAGTCCTTTGTCTTTGTTTCCAGCCTTACATTCCAGTTACCAATTATTATCAATGCATCCTGCTTGCATATCTGTCCAATGTCAGACTGCAGTTGTTATGTGGCGTCAAGTCAACTCTGACTCCTGCGACCGTATGTACAACAGCTCTGAACCTTGCTCTATCCTGAGCCAATTTGATCATTTCTGACACATTTACCCCCATTACCCTAGTCACTGAATCAATCCATCACATCCTTAGGGTCTTCCTTTCAAGCACTGTCCCTCCACCCTCCTAAGCATGATGCTCCTCCCCAAAGACTGGCCCTCTCATTGCAACAAGCCCAAAGTATGTCAAATGAAGCTTCAAAATTCTTGCCTCCAAGAAGCAGTCTGGTTTTATCTTCTCCAGGATGAACCTGTTTGTTCTCTAAGCAGTCCATAGCATATTCAATACTCTTTTCCAGCACCATATCTCAAAGGAATCGATTCTTCTTTTATCATCCTTAGTTTCTGTCTAGCTCTCTGATGGACAGTAAGTAATTGTGAAGACCATGACCTGGATTTGGTAGTCATTTTCAATTTCTTTATTCACTAAGTTTAGTGGTTGGTATGTATATTTGAATAAGAGTTATATTAATAGTTCTTCTTCATATGTAATGATATTAGTCTATCACTGACTGCACTATACTCTAGGATGGCTCTGGAAATGTTCTGACAATGAATTCATCACCATTTATCTTAAATCTGTCATTCTTATCACAGCAGATCATGTAATTATCAGATTCAAAATGGCCAATATTTGTGCACCTTAGTTCACTAGTGGCTAAGATGCTGATCTTTATGTGTTCCATTTTTACAACTTTCATTTTTCCTAGACTCATATTTTGGAGACTCACTCCAGCTATTAATGGATGTTTGCAGCTGCTTCTCCTCATTTTGAATGGTGTCACATGTCAAATGAAGTTCCTTCACTGGGTTAAACCTTTACTTTATCCATGTCATTAAGGGAGGCTGAACTACGGAAGATCTGATGGCCTCATTCACAGGCAGCTGTGCTGCTGACACAAAGGCTGTGCTTTTTTGGAGGTTAGAATCCATTGGTGGCTTGAAGGAAGAAAGGAGGACAATGTCCTCCCATGCCATTTACTAACCTCAGCTATACAATGGAGGGTCAGGTATGAATCGTTTCTGACTAAAAGGCAATGAATCTCAGCTTGAGTTCTACTGAGTCTACCTTAAATGGCATGGGTGGAGTAAAGCACAATAATGTCAGTTTGCTTTCTCTGGTGGCTTGTGTGTTGCCTGAAGCTATGCTACTGGAATTTCAAAATATTAGCAGAATCACACGAAATGTACAGGCTTCCGCAGAACATTCAGACTAAGTCTAGGAAGCAGGACTGGCCACTTCTGAAATAACGGGCTCTTAAAAATACTGGCAATGTAACATTGTCCATTATAGTGCCAATACCAGCCCTTTAAGCAGGAAGGCACCAAAATGTAACAAGGGAAGAGCTGCTTCGTCAAAGTAGTCTACCATCTCATCAATTGACACCATAAGTATTGATGTGGAAAACATCCATGTGAGTAAAGTAATTGTCTTTATCTTTATAAATATAAATACTGAAATCAGTAACTTGATCCTGAACACCTATGAGCTACTTATTTCACATGAACCAATGTATGTCTTATATCTTCAGGTAGACTACATAAAACATTATGACTTATGACATTAAATATAGCTAGAATTTAGCTTTAGTTTTAAACTTAATCTAATTTTCTATCTCACCAAGATCTCGTGTAAGGTCTTGAACTCAGTAAAGTATCTATCTAGTAAATACCTGCCATGGTTTCAAAGAGACATTAAAACTCACAATTCCTTGGCAGTTACAAAGGGACTGGGGAAGATCATGCAGAGTTGTATAAAAATGCCAGAAGCTATGTAAGAACCATATTTAGGGATCATTTTATTACCTGACATCTACTTAAAAATCCTAAATCTACTGATACAAATGAGAGGTAAATGGCTATTCTATTCTTCAGGTCTAAAAAATCTGAATAGGTCTCACCCTCATTACCAAAAAGTTATATAAGTGTGGTTTCACTGTTCATAATCTCGCTATGGACTTTCTTAATCTTAGGATGTCTTCAAAGTATCATCAGAAATACTGCTCATTTTTATTACTGAAATGTCCATGAACACCACTAAACAAATTTTACTTTATTTTCATTCTAAGAAGAAAATAGTTCATATATGCTTGTCATTCCTGAGATTTCTGGCTAACACTAGAACTTCACATGTACATCTTTCTGGGACAACAGAGTACACCAAAAATAAGAAGCTGTTAAGAAATACAGGCAGAGGTGGGAGAAGTAGCAGAGGACATGGCTTTTTTAACTTATTAATAAATTCCGCCACTTTTCCATGATGGTGTTGTTTTAATAATACTTAACACTATTTAGAAGAGGTCGTGGTACCAGAGATATTATAACTAACATTAGATGGATATTGGCAGAAAGCAGAGAATACCAGGAGAATGTCTATCTGTGCTTCACTGACTATGCAAAAGCTTTGGACTGTGTGGATCACAACAAGCTGTGGCTGACTCTGAGAAGAATGGGAATCCCAGAACATTTGATTGTGCTAATGCGAAACCTTATACTTGGACCAAGAGGCAGTCGTTAGAACAGAGCAAGGAGACACTACATGGTTCAAAATCAAGAAGGGGGTCCATAAGGGATGTATTCTGTCTCCACACCTTTTCAATCTGTATGCTGAACAGATCATCTGAGACGCTGGGCTGTACGAAGAGAAATGTGGCATCAGGATTGGTGGAAGAGTCATCAATAGCCTGCGTTATGCAGATGACACAACCCTGATTGCTCAAACTTAGGAGGACCTGAAGTGCTTGCTGCAGAACGTCAGAGACTATAGCCTTCAATATGGATTGAAGCTTAACATCAAGAAAACAAAGATTCTCACCACTGGGCCAACTGACGGCATCAGTATGGATGGTGACGAGATTGAGATAGTTAACAGTTTTAGTTTAGTTGGCTCTACAGTCAACACTCTTGGTAATAGCAGCCAGGAAATCAAAAGAAGAATTACATTGGGAAAGTCAGCTGTGAGGGGCCTCTCAAGAGTACTGAAGAGCAACGACATCAGGCTGGAGACTAAGGTGCGCCTGATCGGGGCTACAGTCTTCACCAATTACGTGCTATGGGTCAGAGTGTTGGACAGTGAATAGGGATGATAGAAAGAGAACTGATGCGTTTGAGCTGTGTTGCTGGAGAAGAGTGTTGACTATATCATGGACTGCTAGGAGAACAAACAGGTTTGTCCTGGAGAAGGTGAAGCTGGAATGCTCCTTGGAGTCAAGGATTCTGAAGCTTCATCTGACATACTTTGGGCATGTTGCAAGGAGGGAATGGTCCTTGGGAGAGGGACATCATGTTTGGCAGAGTGGAGGGGTGGCGCAGGAGAGGAAGACCTTTGATGAGATGGATCGATTCTATGACTGGAGCAGTGGAAATAAGTGCGTCTGAGATGGCTAGGTTGGTACAGGATAGAACAACATTTAGGGCTCTTGTACATAGGGTCGCTATGAGTCGCAAGTGACTCGATAGCACATAACAACAACACTATTTTATATTTTCAGGAAAAAAACAAAAAACCTAACAGACACAATGGCCTCAAATGCAGTTAAAATATGTAAAAATCTATTTCCTAGAAATAGGGCAAGGAAAAGTCTGGCAGTACCAGTCTCAGCACTCCAACTGTTTCTTGTTCAGTAGCCACCACTTACCTTTTTCTCCTTCTTCCCAAAGCTGAGGCCAGGAGTCCCCTTCTCAACCACTATGCATGAGATGCCTTTGGGGCCTGGTCCTCCAGTTCGGCACATGACAACATAGATGTCTGACTCGCCACCGCCACTAATGAAGGCCTGTGGGGTTGGAGATAAAGTGCAAAGAGTTTAGGGCATAGCTAAGTTCTCAGAACCTTAAGTCAGGGAAAACCATGTGGTCTGCCAACAGCTGGATATTAACATATATAAATGTACAGAAAGACTGAGAAGAGAGAAAAACAGCTGCATGGATTCTGGAGAATTAAGGAGCTAGTCGATCTCAAACTAATTAAAATAAATTCTAACTCCTAAGTAGGAACTATGGAGACAAAAAGGCAATGGGGTGACTGAGGAAAAGAAACTACCAACTAAGAATTCTATACAAACCAAAACAGTTCCTCAAATACAATGGTGAAATTAGAATATTTTCAGATGAACAGAAAGTAATGGAATTTGTGAAAGAAGACCAACTCTACAAGAAATATCTGAGAGAGTTCTCTGGATCAACAGCCAACAAGATAAAGTGAAATGAACATATATACTGACATTATTCAGAAACTGATCCAGATGTAGAAATATACAAAGTATAATAAACCTATGGCACTAAACCACTGATGTGTCCATTAAGTTGGAACCACCTCATAGCAGATGCACCAGTGGGTTTTCAGAGGCAGTAAATTGCATGAGAGGAGATGGCCCATTTTTTTCCTACAGAACGACTGGTGGATTTGAACCACCTGTCTAATAGATTGCAGTGTAGTTTTTATTTTCAAGAGAAACTGATTAATGTTAGGTAGCTCTGGTGGCCTAGTCCACAGGGAGTTCTGCTGCTCCCTATTTGGAACCACAGTCATTGGTTCATAAATGGACAACTATGATGCAAAGAATGGGAATCCCAGAACATTTAATCGTGGTAATGCGAAACCTATACTTGGACCAAGAGGCAGTCGTCAGAACAGAGCAGGGCAACACTGCATGGTTCAAAATTAGGAAGGGTGTACGCCAGGGATGTGTCCTATCTCCATACTTTTTCAACCTGTATGCAGAGCAGACTATCCGAGAGGCTGGGCTCTATGAGGAGAAGCGTGGGGATAGGATTGGTGGACGATCTATCAACAATCTGCGTTATGCAGATGACACAACCATGCTCGCTGAAACTGAGGACCTCATGCACTTACTGCAGAGGTCAAGGACTGCAGCCTTCAGTATGGACTGAGGCTCAATGTCACGAAGACAAAAACTCTCACCACTGGACCAATTGGTACCATCAGGATGGATGGTGAAGAGATTGAGATTGTTCACAGCTTCAGTTTGCTCGGCTCCACGGTCAACACTCTTGGCACCAGCAGCCAGGAAATAAAAAAATGTATTGTGATCGGAAAGTCTGTGGTTAGGGACCTCTCTAAAGTACTCAAGAGCACAGTGTCTCTCTGGAGACTAAGGTATGCCTGATACAGGCTATGGTCTTTGCAATCACTTGTTCACTTGTTATGCAACAGAGAGTTGGACAATGACTAGGGAGGATAGAAGGAGAATTGATGCCTTTGAGCTGTGGTGCTGGAGAAGAGTATTGAATGTACCATCGACTGCCAAAAAAACAAACAGATTCATCCTAGAGAGGGTTAAACTAGGCTGCTCCTTGGAGGCAAGGATTCTGGGGCTTCGTCTGACATACTTTGGACATGCTGTAAGGAGAGACAGGTCTTTAGGGAGGGACATCATGCTGGGTAGAGTAGAGGGACAGCGCAGGAGGGGAAGACCCTCTATGAGGTGGACTGATTCAGTGACTGGGGTAATCGGGATGGGTGTGTCGGAGGCAATGCAATTGGCACAGGATAGAGCATGGTTTAGGGCTGCTGTACATAGGGTCGCTATGAGTCGCAAACGACTCGACGGCACATAACAACAACAACAACATGATGCAAAACAGGGAGTAATAAGTCTGCTTAGAGAATTTATAAACTGAGAGAAGTCAAGGTGATTTCAACAAAGAGAACTGTTTTAGGTATGGGAAGAATATTAACTTACAGGGTAACCTCCAAGGAAGTCAAAAGACCTCCAAATCAAGATAAAAAAGAGGAAAATCATAAAGACAATTCATTAAAACTCACTGCTGCTGAGTCAGAATTATGCATCATAAATGACCCTCCATTGAGTTTCTGAGGCTGCAAATTATAAGGGAGGAGACTGTGCCTCTTTCTCCCTTAGCTGCTAGAGATGCAGGCTTTTGAGCTGGCAGCACAACTACCTATTAACTATTTTTCTTCAGTGTTAATTTGTCTACATGGTCATCCAGGTTAGACATTTGATAAACATCACTGAAATACCTATGGATTATTGTTGTTGTTCTTAGGTGCTGTTGAGTCATGTTCAACTCATGGGGACCCTATAACCACTAGATCTGAACCCTGACCTATCTTGTGCCATCCTCATAATCTCTGACACACTCAAGCCAATAGCTGCAGTTATGGTGTCAATCCACCTGGTTGAGGGTCTTTCTCTCCTTTGTCATCCCTCCACCTTTCCAAGCAAAATGTCCCTCTCCAAGGAATAGCTTCTTCTAGCAAAATGCCCAAAGTGTGTGAGATGAAACTTTGTTAACTTTGCCTCTGAAGAACACTCTAGCTGCACTTTCTCTAAGACATAGCTGTTCTTTTGGCAACTGATGAAATATTGAATAGTCTTCTTCAAAGACATATGGACTAGAGAAAATTAACAAACTTTCTCCTGAAAATAAAAAAGAAGGGAACCTTATATATAAAGACTTAATAAACATCAAAACAATAGTAATGGAGGATATGTTAAGAAAAGCCATAAACAAAATAAACTCAGCAAAGACAAGCAGATGAACAAAAAAATCAGCAATACCACCAAAAGAGCAAAAGAGAGTATAGTGAAATGACAGCAATGAACCACACCTGCTGTTAATTACATTGATATGAACAGAGTAATTACACTAGCCAAGAAAAAAAAGAAGAGAATGGACAAGAAAACAAGATCCATGAAAATTGTGTCATACAAGAGACACATCTCAGGGACAAAGACACAGATTGACTAAAAATCAAAGGGTGGAAAAAATTTATCAAGCAAATGACAATTAAAAAAATAGGCGGAGGAGCAACCCTGAATTTTCACAAAATAGACAAAAGACAAAATAAGAACAAAGAAGGTTATTCTGTCTGATCAAAATTTCAATTAGAGGAAAGAACTATAGTATCTATGAACCCAATGAAAATTGCAAGACACATAAATCAAACTTTAACAGATTTGAAAAACATAAGAGACAACCTTGCAATAACCGTAGGAAAATTCAATACACCACTTTTATGAAGGACAGAACGACTAGAAAGTTACTTAACAAAGATGCAGAAGAATTAACCAACTTGATGTTCTTGATATACAGAGAGTACTCAACCCAACAAGAGTATAATATACACTTTGCTCTGGTGCACATGAAACATTCTCTGGAACAGAATACATGCTAGCAAGCTTCAATAAATTAAAAAATATCTCAACAAGACAAAGCATATTTTTAGGCCATAACGCTTTAAAATTAGAAATCAATAAGAGGGATATCAAAGAAAATAATCAAGCACATGGAAACTAAATAACAGCTGCTTAAACAATTTTTGGAAATATAAATGATATCAACAAATTTCTCAAAGCAAATTAGAATGAAAGTACAACATACTAAAAGCTTTGAGACACAGCAAAAGCAGTACTCAAAGGTCAATTTGCAGCAAAAATAATCAAAATAGAAAAAATAATACAGAAATATTTCTAGCAATCAGATAAAGACCAAACAAAGCTCTTATTCCAGAAGAAAAAGGAAATAATAAAGAGCAGAAATAAATTAAATAGAAGGTAGAAAAAATGGAATTTATATGAGCATTAGTTCATTGAAAGGATTAATAAAATCAACCCCACTCTTTGCTCTCAAGGCAAAACTGACTGCTAGCTGACTCATGATTGGGTTTCTAAGGCTATAAATTGCATTGGAGAGAGTGCCCATATTTCTTGCTTGTAGTCACTGGCTGATTTTAACTGCCGGAGAAGCACAGTCTTTGAGTTAGCAGTACAACTCATTGTTGACGATACCACTTTTATTGTTGTTATGAGATGTCGAGTTGTTTATGGATCATAGAAACCCTATATTAAACAGCTCTGAACCCTGCCCTATCTTGATTCAATTTCATTATCTCTGACACATCTACCTCCATTACTCAATCACTGAACCAATCTATCTACTGAGGGTCTGTCTTTCTTGTACTGTCTCTCCACCTTTTCAAGCATGATGTCCTTCTCCAAGGACTGGTCTCTTCTGGGAAAAGGCCCAAAGTACGTGAGACAGAGCTTCAAAATAATTTCCTCCAAGCAGCAGCCTAGTTTAACACTTTTCTGAGAGAAATGTTTAACAAAATAGGAGTAGATGGGAAATTCCTCAACAGAATTAAAAGTATATATACAAAATCAATAGAAAACAGTGCTTTCAGTGGATAGAGTTTAAAAGCATTCCTTTTACAAATAGGAACCAGATATGGTTGCCTTTTAACATCATTTCATCACTCCTATTCATTACTGAAGAAGTCCTGGCCAAACAAGGCAGGAAAAGGAAATAAACAGCATCCAAATTAGCAAAGAGGAAGTAAAACAATCTCTATTTGCAAATGATCTGATCATACATTCAGAAAATCCTAAGCACTCAGCAATAAAATAACTGGATATAACGGAGGATTCGAAATGAACATTAAAAAAAAATATGTTGGATTCCTCTGTAGTAGCAAAGAAAACTATAAAAAATAAATAAGGGAAATAATACCAGTTAAATAGCTACGAAAAAGAGGAAATAGGAATAATCCAACCAGAGCTATAAAAGACCTATACAAAGAAAACTATAACAAAGTCAGAGAGATCTACAAAAAATGCAAAAACATACTATACTTAAGGATTGGAAGATTTAACATTGATATGGCCATACCACCCAAAGCAATCTATAAATATGATATAATCCCTATCAAGATACCATCATCATTTTTAAAGAGATGATAAAAGTTAACAACTATCATCTTTATATGGGAAGGAGAGAAACCCCAAATAAGCAAAGAATTACTGAAGAAGAAAAATAAAGTAGGAAACCTTTACACTTTCTGATTTCAAAACCTACTATGTAATCACAGGAAGCTCTGGTGACTTAGTGGTAAGGAATTGTATTGCCACCACAAAGGTATGTAGTTTGAATCTACCAGCTGCTTTGCAGGAGAAAGATAGGCAGTCTTCTCCAGTGCAAGTAATTGTCTCTGATAGCAAACTGGAGGGTCAGCTATGGGTAGGTTCCAACGTGATGGTACACCACAACATTACATGGTCAAAGTAAGCAACATGTATTGATACTGGAACAATGATAGGTACATACAGACTAATAGAGTAGAACTAAGAATCAAGAAATAAAACCATCCGTAAACAACAGACTTTTGATAAAGAGATGAAATCTATTTCGTATGAAAAGAGAGTCTCTTTAAGAAATGGTGCTGGAAAAATTGATTATTTACTTGTAGAAAATGGAAATAACATAACACCACATACAATAACTAATTCAAGATGGATAAAAGACATAGGTGTAAAATCAGGAACTATAAAGATCATCAATGAAAAACTTGGGTAAATTTAGGAGCCATAATCTATGGAATAATAATCATCTTTGGAATAATAATCATCATCATCTTTGGAAGCAGGAGTGGCATCCACTTTACTTTCTAAATAACATGACTCTGGAAACCCTATGACTTCAATAAATGTCGACAGTTGTAGAGAGGCTTCAAGCCTTTTGTTTTGTTCATAGGGTTGCTATGAGCCAGGCTCAACTCAAAGGCAATCAATAACAACAACAATCTAAGAACTAGGTAGACTATTTAATATAGCTGAAAATAAACAATTAGCAAAGATAAACTAAATGATTAGTGCCTCCTAGAAATGAAATCTTATGTGCATCAAGACACTTCTCCCAAAGAGTGAAAAGACAATCTACAGACTGGGGAAAAAATATTTGGCAATGACATATCTGATAAGGGATCAATCTCTAAAACTTACAGGAAATTCCAATACCTCAATAAGAAAAAGACAAACAACCCATGAACAAACAAATGGATAGAGAAGCTCTGGTATATTCACACAATGGAATACTATGCTGCATTGAAAAATAAAGAACTCATGCAATATTATTCAAAATGGGTGACCCTGGAGGACATTATGCTGAGTGAAATATCTCAGTCACAAAAGGACAAATACTGCATAGTGCCACTGTTATAAAACGGGACTGACATCAGGGTTTGGGGTGAGACTGAGAAAAATTGGATAAATTATGTATACTGCATTGAAATGGATGAGGGAGAGAACAGTTTAAAAACAACATATGATTGGGTATTATGATTATGACAAGAGTCCAGAATGAAGGCTGCATAATGGAGTGTACTGGGGGGGAAGGGGATTGTATACCAATGAAAGAATTTTTCTTTTACTTTTCAAAGAGAAGAGCGAACTGGGGGGGAAGGGCTGGGCAGGGAGAAAAATGCAACAATGAATGAATGGAAATACAAAATGTCTGTAAATGGTCATTAAAATTAATAAAAAAAAAAGACAGTTCAATTATAAGATAGGCAGAGGACATGAAAAGACATTTCATGTATGGAGACATTTAAATGACCCAGGTATTGAAATTTTCAAGATTTTTAGTTGTTTTTGTTTACAGTCTAGTTGGCACCAACTGATAGCTGACCTTCCTAGTGGTCTAGTGGTAAGCATCTGTGCTGCCAACCTTAAGGCACATGGTTCAAATCTATCAGCTTCTCTTTGGGTAAAGGACAGGCAATCTCCTCTGGTGGGATATGCTGCCTCTGAAAACCTACTGGAGAGTCAGCTATGGGTTTTTTCCAATCTTATAGTACATAACAACAACATTAGTTATTAGAGACATGCAAATCACAAAACAAGATTATGGTACCCTCAGCAACAATATTAACATTTAATAAGACAACAAATAGTGTGGATATGGAGACTGGATCCTTAAACACTATTGATGGGATTGTAAAATGGAAAGCGGTTTTATACTTATTTAGAAAGTTTAAAATTGAAATACCATTTGATCCAGCAGTCTGATTACTAGGTATATATTCCAAAGAAATGAAGCTGGGACACAAATTAACACACCACATTCATGTTTATTATAATATAATTTAAAATAATAAAAAGGTGGAAACAAACCAAGTGTTCATCAATGGAGAAACTGCTGAAGAAACTACTATACATTCATACAACAGATTACTATGTTTCACTTAAAAATGGTCAAGAATTCATGAAATAGTGTACAAATTGGATGAATGTAGTGCAAATTACACTAAGTAACATAAATGGGTAATAAAAGAACAATTACGACTCAAGAGCACTACTGTAAGAAGTTAAGGAAATGTTTACATATAGAATAATTTCTGGTTAACAGGGATGGGAAGAGAGGAATAAAAATGAATACATAAATAAAATTCATGTAGGGAAAAGCAATATATACTAAGATTGTTGTTTAATGCCATCGAGTCATAGACGACTCATAGCGACCCTATGAACGAACAGCCTGAGCACTGTTCGTAAAAAGAGTTTCCAGAGGCAAGCCATTTTGGAAGTGGATGCCGCTCCTGCTTCCAGATACTAAGATTAGACATTCTAATTAATGAATGGCATTAACCAATTGTAATTAATGTTATAAAACAAAATGTATATGATTTGTAAACTGTCAGTCCAAAAAAAAAGAAAGTCAGGAAAGGTTAAAGAAAAACAGGCTGACAAAGGACAGAAATAACTGCATTGACTCTAGGGGATTAAGGACATAGTTGATGAAATTATAAAAAGGACAGGCAAGAAAGCAATTATCTGAAATTAGATCAAAAGAGATAGAAGCACAGCAGGTAGATAAAGGGAAAAGTGTCAGATGTTCCCTTCTGTTAAGTGAAAATTCTATAGAGACTTCTGTCTATGGGTAGATGGAAAAAGCTCAAATTCTGGGATAATACATTCTAATCTGAATATATTCTTAGGTAGTACCTTGGAGCCATTAAGAATGTAATGATCTCCTTGTCTTTTAGCTGAGGTCAAAAGGGATGCAGCATCGCTTCCACTTCCTGAGGGAGAGAAAAAAGAAAGTTAAGACAAATTAGGGGAGTTTCAGTTAAATTTTTTTCCTGAGAAATATCATATAAATGGTTCAGTTTGGGATTTTATGATCTAGACTGCCAAAGAATTGCTTTGTACTTGGTGAAACTGCTTAACACTAATCAGACCCCTTTCCATCTATCAACATGCTGGTTTAAAAGGATCTGGGGAGATCCTTACCTAGAAGCCTGAATGCTGTCACTTCAGGCTGCGTAGTGTACTAACCAAAGACTACCTTCTAGGTAAGGGACAGGTGTGTTAGTGGGCTGAGGAATGCCAAGTGTCACATTTTCTCCACTAACTCTCATCCACGGAATGGCATGCTCACCTGGTTCTGTGAGGCAGTAGGAAGCAAACTTCTCCATGGTGCAGAGTGGAGGACAGAACGTGTGTCTCTGTTCCTCATTCCCAAACCTGTCAATCATCCAGGCACACATGCTGCAGGGCGGACCAACAGAAAGAGCAATTGTGAGAAATGAAGATAGAAAACAAAAGGAAATTGGGGGCAGAGGTAAGAGAACATAGGGCAGCAAAATAAAGCAAAGGAAAGTGGGAAGGGAAAATAATCATAATTAAAAAGCTTCGACTTTAAAGGGAAGTACTAAAGCGGAATGTATTCCTGGAATAGAGAGAGCCAAGGCTGAGGAATTTCTCACTTGGATTTGATGACACTTTAAATTAAGCTGCATAAGCTCTTTATTAATAATAAGTACTTTCTGCTACTTCTCAAAATCACTGGAAGTGTCATCTCTGGGGTGGAGGGGAAGCTCAATAGCGCCCTGACCATTCTATGAGAAGTCTGTTGGTAGTAGTTCAAGCTAGGATTTGGGAGAAAGCTCGTAAATCTGATTCTGTAATAAAAGAACAGGATGGCATCTTTAAGTCCAGCAGGTGGCAACAGAGCATGCACTTGATAGTCTAGTTCTTCAAGAGCAACCACCCTAAATAAATCCACCTTTTCTTATGGATTGGAATGGTTCCAAACAACCCCCATGAGTACATCACTGTGCTTTCCACGGGCACTCACTTGTGGATGCTTATGTATGCTGTAGTACTAGTGCAACCTGTAGCCAAGGCTTCAAAGATGACAGAAGTATCAAGCCGTGACAGTCCAGACCCACCCACATCTGTCCGTACATAGACCCCCCCAAAGCCCAGTTGGGCTGCTTTCCGCATCACATCCACTGGGAACAGCTCCTGTGTACAAAAGACAGAAAACTCATCAGTCACTGATCTGGATGGTACATGGAGGGGATTAGATGTTTGCATTTGGGAGCATGCAGAGATTCTTTTCTGTGCCAATTTGTCACCTTGCAATGATGTCAGCTGGAGTTTCTTCTATGATTGGCCTGTCTTGACATTAAAGCTTCTTTTTATTATCTTTATAACTGTCTTGGTTTGGTTTTAATTGTGATTTTAAAGAAAGTTTACAGAAAAGTTGGATTTTCATTCATTGTTGCATATTTTCCTCCTCGCCCTTCCCCCAGTTCATGGTTGTTTTCTTTTAAACATTCATTGTTGCAGCTATCTTGGTTTTAAGCATGTTTAAATCCTTGTTCAATTTAAAAAGATACTATAAAATGATGAGGATACCTTCTATGAAAGGAATGTCTGTGCAGGAATGTGGAGAACAAATACTGAACAGTTTGGAATCATAAGAGATAAGGTCACTGGATGAGGCATTTGCCTACCTTCTGGTCCCACTCTGCCATATTGGGAGCCATCTCCCTGGTGGCAAAGTCAAAGGCCACTTTCTGGAATTCTTTCTGCTCTTCATTTAGTCCAATGGAAGCTGTAGGCAGGATTGCACAGACTCAGTTCTAGGCTAGAGTTTAGGGAAGAGTATCACACACAAGAAACACCACAGAATAGTGTTAAGACTGGGTTACAATTTAATTTGTTAATATGCCTTTGTTATGTTAATGAGGCAGAAATGGTATTAAACATATCTTGGGCCAATTTACTTTGAGATAGAAGAGAGATTAAACAAGGGTGCAAAGTAGCGATGGAGTAAGGTAGATGCCAAAGCCCGTGGAGATGTCCAAAGACCCAGGAAGCAGAAGCTGTAGAGCCAACAAAAGGAATATTCCCCTAGAGCCATTTCTAACCTCCTTAACTGTGAGAAAATTTTCACTCCTGTTATTTCTGTTACAGTAGCACGAGATAACTAAGATACATCATGACATTCCTTAATAGAAAGAAAAGATTGAGTCATTTGGACTAAAAAACCCGGTGAAATTAATCCACAATTCAAATGGATTGTACTTATGTATCTAGAAGCTCACATAAGAGTCTAAGCAAAGAAACTGACATTTCTGCATGCCTATCACTTTTACTTGATGCTCCTTGCAAACTGGAGATTTTCATGGGAGAAAGAATCTATTAAGTCACTCCACCGAGAAGGTCTATTATCTTTGATGGAGGAGGCAGTTCTAACACATACTCAGATTACCCAGGAGAGTATTTGGCTACTGCCCAGATATCTCTGCCCTAGCCACTTAGTGAAATACAGCTGAGGCTCAAACTGTGACAAATTAGCAGGGACAGGAATGGAGCACAAGGAATATACAAACAGGCCACAGAAATCACAAGGGAACATGCAGGGGGTAGAGTTACAGGCCTCTACTCCCAAGTGAATCAGCTGCCCTCATTTACCTTCAATATTCCTTATCTCTTCTTTCTCATAAATTGACATTAATAAAATATAATAAGCACATACTGAGCTTCAAATTGTGGCTTAGTATGTTTTCCCTTTGACTTGTCCTATTTTTCTCTGTACGGGTAGAATTGCATTTCCATCCATATGCATGTCTGTACCACGCACCTTTAGGGGACACACACACACACAATTCCATTTCATTTCTTTACATATTTTCTTTAAACAGCCATCTCTTCTCATGGCCTGATATACAATTTATTTTTTCAAGACTTTTATAAAAGACTTTTTAAATACTGCAGAGACAGGGGTGACCACCTGTAAAGCAGAGGTGCATGTCTAAGGAGCTAGTTAAGCGAGGATTAAATAATTTTCATGTTTTGCTAGAGGATGAATACTTCCAGTAAGATACCAGCTGGAAGCTAGGTCAGAAACCTAGGTATAGTTCCCTGAAAGGCATTTGTCTTTACAACTTTACAAAATGTTGTTCTCAATAAACCATGTGCCTCGTGTGAGCTAAGAACAAAGAAGTATTGCCTATACTTGGAGAAAGTGAAACCCAAGGTACTGCGATGGCTATAAAAGTAAAAAGATAAAATACAAGGGCTCTGTTAGCTCCAGTTATGGGCCAAATTGTGTGCTACCCCCAAATACAATCCCTAAACTGGTGATTATAATCCCATTTGGGGATGGGTTTTCTTTATGCCAATGTGGCAATAGGTGTATATGTCTTAAATCAATCTCTTCTGAGATATAAAAAGAGCAGATCATTCATATAAGCAAACAGATGAGAACACAGGACAAGATCATCAAGACCTTCCCCTTAAGGCACAGACTTCTGGAGATGACAGCCTAAATTCTGACTGCCAGCCTCCTAAATTCATAGAAAGGAACTTGGTTACTGCAGTAACAGGTTCCTTAAACTGAACATGGTACTAGAAGTTGGGAGTATTGCTCTAACAAATACCTCACGTGTGGAGACGCATTCATAGGAGGCGGGGAGAGTTTTAAGGGGCCTAATAGTAAAAGCTCTTTGCACATTTCATTATAATATTTTGTTTTGTATTCTCACACTGCCCTTGGAAATCTCTTTTACTTTGGCATCTCTTCTCAATGTTCTAGTGCAATTTTAAGTCTCTTCTGACTTCTATTTTCTTTTCTTTCTCATCTTTGAAATGACCTTTTGCTTTCTTCCTGGATGGTATCCTTAATATTATCCCACAGCTCATCTTCAATCACTAGAGCTCAGTGCTTCACACCTATTCTTGAGATGATGATCTATAAATTCAAGTGGATGGACTCGAGTTATTTTTTGGTTCTTGCAGACTTGTGATTTTTCTCCAGTTTAAATCTGAACTTGAAAATGAGTAACTGAAGGTCTGTTCCACAGTCAGCACCTGGCCTGGTTTTGACTGCTGACATTGAGCTTCTCCAACAATTTCTTCCACAGATAAAGCCAATCTGATTCCTGTGCAGTCCATCGGGTGAGGTCAATGTTACCATTTGTCTTTTAAAAAAGAAAGTATTTCCAGTGAATAAATCATCAGCTGTGCAAAATTCTATCATTCCGTCTCTAGTCTCATTCTGATTGAGTCTTTAATTTTTGACTACCATCATCTTCCTTCAAACTTTTGCATTCCAGTCACCGATATTATTAGTACATCTTGACGGTGAATCTGGTAAACTTTAGACTGCAAAAGTTATTCGTTGTTGTTGTCTTTGTATCAAGCATGACTCATAGCGACCCTATGAACAAAAGGCCTGAAGCTTCTCTAGAAATTCTCCATTTCCTTCTCTTTGACTTTAGTTGTTGCTGCAGAATAATTTACATACTAACAGGTCTTCCTTATATGCATACAGATAGTATCCAATCACTCACAGTATTAAACTTCAGAAAGCTTCTTGAAATAGTATTTTTTCACTATGAAGGCAATACCATTCAGCCTCAATTTTTTCATTCCTAGAAAAAGAAATCATACGATTGTCTAATTCAAAGTGGTCAATCCCAGTCCATCTTAGTTCAGTAAGGGAAGAAATGGCTCATCATTTCTAGGACTGAAAGAAATGGAAAATAAATTTAAGCCTCAAGTCACAATACTAACGGATGTTACAGGCAAAATCTTGAACAATCCAAGAAGATGGAGACAAAACATGGTTACTGCACCAAAAAGATCTGCCTAACATGGAACTATTTCAGGAAGCAGCGTATGATCAGAAACCAACGATGATGAAGGAAGATGTCCAAACTGCACTGAATGCACTGGTAAAATATAAGGCTCCAGGAATTGACGGAAGACAAGTTGAGAGGTTTCAACTAACAGATACAGCCCTGGATATGCTCACCATTCTATGTAAAAAAATTTGGAAGACAGTCACCTGGCTGTTTCCATTTCTAAAAAAGGTGATCTAACAGAATGTGAAAATTGTTAAACATTGTAATACCCAAGTAAAATACTGCTGAAGATTATCCAAAAATGGATGGAACAGTACATTGAGAGAATTGCCAGAAATTCAAGCTGGATTTAGAGGAGTCTATAACACCAAGGATACTACTGCTCATGTTAGATGGATCTTGGCTAAAAGCAGAGAATATCAGAAGAATGTCTGTGTATTATTGACTATGCAAAGGCATTTGACTGTATGGACCATAACAAATTATGGCTAACACTGAATGGGCATCCCAGAACACTTAATTGTGCTAATGCAAAACCTATACTTATAGACCAAGAGGATGTAGTTTGAACGAAGCAAGGGAACACCACATGATTTAAAATCAAGAAAAGTGGGGGAAAAAAAGTGTTTATCAGTGTTGTAACATTTCTCTATACTTAGTTAATCTGTATGTTGAGTAAATCATTTGTGAGGCTGAATGTGGCATCATGATTGAAGGAAGACTCATCAACAACCAGCATTATGAAGATGACAAAACCTTGCTTGCTGAAAATGAAGCCAACTTGAAAAACTTGCTTCAGAAAATCAAAAGTGATAAACTTTGCAATTATTTGTTATGTGTCTGAAAGGTGCGTAATGATGAAGAATGACAAAAGAATCACTGCCTTTGAGAAATGGTGTTGGAGAAGAATAGTGAGTATCTCATGGACTGACAAAAGAGCAAACAAAAATATCTTGGAGAAAGTGTAACCAGGGTGCTCCTGAGAGGTAAGGATGGTGAAGCTTTGTTCCAAATATTTTGGGCTGATCCTCGGAAAATGACATCTATCATGCTTACAAAGGCGGAGGGCTAGTCAAAGAGAGGACAATCTTCAATGACATGGACTGATTACACAGTGATGGCTCAAATATATTAGAGATGAAGACACAGGACAGGGGCAAGGTTCAAACCCATTGTTCTTAGAGTCACTCTGAGTTGAAGCAAGCTCTGGTAGTGTAGTCCCTTGAGAACAGCACTGCTGAACAAAGGCACTGTCCTTCTGGCAGTTAGAAACCACTAGCAGTTCCTCAAGAGAATGACGCAAGATCCCTCCTGTGCAATTTGTAGCCTCCAAAAACCTTCTGGAGCATCAACTGTAAGTCACATCTATCTCAATGACAATGAGTGAATAAAAAAATCTAGATTATCTTCAAAAGACCACTGGTAGGAAAAAAAAAGGATGTTAAAAGGCAGTTCTGGCCAGGGCTCAGCAAGAAGTGAGGAAAATCTTGAGAAATTGTAGAGCATACTTACAGCACTGATATGTATTAAATTTTGTCACACTTTCCTCATAAAAAAAAAAAATTTGTCACACCTGTCCCATTCCACTTATGTTGTAAATCCTCTTTGCTTGTAGCCATAATCCCATTTGGAAATGGTCTGTCTTAGTATATACTACTGGGGCAAAACTAGTATGAAGAGTCCCCAGCCAATCTCTTTTATGATTTATGAGATGATGCAAGCAAACAGAAGCAATGATAGAGGAAAAATGCCAAGTCACATAAAGATCACCCACTATGTTTGCAAAAGCCATCCACTTGTACTATTTCAGTCATAACAGGAAACTTGGTGGTGTGGTAAATCACTTGATATAGGGAAGAACAAGATCAGCAATTTAATTCCACCAGCTGTTCCACAGGAGAAAGAGGTTGTTTGCTTCTCTAAAGATTTATAGTATCAGAAACACAATCATGAGGCAGAACCGAATCAATGACTGTAGGTTTTGCTGTTTTGTAAAACAGGTATCTTCAACAGAATGTTGGGCATGTGGGTGTTAAATGTGCTTCTGGTGAGGCTTCAGAACCTGTCTAAATTATGTTCAAATGTTTGGTAAAAGTTAAATGATAAACATGGTTTATGATTTGGCTGAGGAAATTTCTAAGCAAGATTGTGAAGCGAAAGCATGGGTTTTCCTTGCTGTATTTAATGAAAGGAGAGGGAATTAAAATAAGCAGTGAAAGGTGTGGGCATATGGACTTGACAGGCTGTCTTTCTAAACACACTATATGTGCTAAAAACAGATTCATGTATATATTAGAACAAATGGAACAAAACAATTAAAACTTTGTAGCCAAAACCAAACACTTAGAGGGAACAAGTCACTGGGCCTGGGATCTAAGGACTAGAGCTGCTATCAGGATGTAGAGGCATAAAATAGCCTACAAAAATAATTATCTACTTAGACCAACATCACTGGGGTCTCAAAATTTTACAAGCAGTCACCTAAAGGAAACCTGTTGGGTCTCTTTTTATCAGAGGAAAACAAAAAAAAAAAAAATCAAAGACTATTAGTCCAAAGGCTAAGGGACTATGCCAACTTCATTCTCCACAAACCCAAGACCAGAGCTGTATGTGATATTGACAGTAATGAAAACACCTCATAATGCTTCTGTAGTTGTTATGTGCTATCAAGTTGGATCTGCTTCATAGCTGATCCTCCAGCAGATTTTCAGTGGCTGTAAATGACAGAAGATTGCTCATCTTTCACCAGCACAGCAGCTGGGGGATTTGAACCTCCTGTCTTTGGGCTGGCAACACAACTCCTTAGTCACTAGGTCACCAGAACTCCCTGTTGTAGCAGGAACTGGTTTTTCCTTAAATATCTTTTAATAGTCAGAAATGAACCCTTTACACAGCCTTAAACAAAAAAGGTCTTTTGCAACTAATAGATGGAAAAGAGACTAATCTTTCAGTTAACAGATACTAACTCTATTAATTGAACATAGTTTTGGTGGTTTACAGGTAGGGTATTGTGCAGGCAACACAGCAGCTACAAAGGAGAAAGGTCTCTAAGGCATGTGGACACTAGCATGGTGAAATCGACAGAACAATCTCTTATGCTGAGTGGCCTAAGTGAATGAATCAAATCTACCACAAAAAGACAAATAAGACCATTACAAAAAGAGGGGGCTCTGTTGCCTAGTTGGTAGGGAGCAGTACTGTCAACTCATAGGCAAGTGGTTTGAATCCAATAGCTGCTCCTCCAGAGAAAGCTGGGCAATCCCTTCTCCTTTACTGCCTTGAAAAGCCATGGAAGGTCAGGTGTGAGTCAGCTCTGTCTCACACACCTTTTTTCCTTAGGCAGCTCTGGTCGTGCAATCGGTAGGGAGCTGCACTGCTAAACAAAGCGGGGACCTCTCAAGCGGTTCGAATCCACCGGCAGCTTTGGGGAGGAAAGACTGGCAATTTCCTCCAGTGTGACTTACAGCACTTGAAATGTCAAAATAATCACTTCTGATTCAATGGCAATGAGTTTGAGTTTTTATCCGTCCAGACTGCCACACTGGTGTCCCTTTAAAAGACATTTAAAAAAAAAAAAGTATTTAAAAGCAAAACAAAGAACAAAGCCACACGTTCTCTCACTTTCCAGAACTATTTTTCTTATCTGAAAAACAGGGTTACAGCAGCAATGATATCTCAATAAGGTTCCTAAGAGAAACTACAGATAGTTTCAGCAACAAGCATCAGTTTGTATCAAAAGGTGGTTTCACGTGTTAGTTTATCTCGAGGTGGCTCCTGTGACATGTGCAAGCCCGCAGCTAGGTTAGGCGCCTAAGGCGGGCCTCGGGCCACCCTCTCCCGAAGTCTTTCCCTCTCTGCCGTCCACGGCAAGCCGGCAAGACGGGGTCAGCGCAGAGCCGCGGCGCGGAGGGCCCCCGTCCCGCAAGCCCCGCGCGAGCCTTACGGTCGATGCAGGACACTAGGCCCCTGTGGGCCCTCTGGGCGGGCGCCCAGACAACTTCGCGCAGGAAGCCCACCAGCACCGGGACCCGAGAGACGGTGCTCCTCAGCATGGTTGACAGCGCTCAGCAGCCGACTAAGTGCTCTGCAGCCGACCGGCTCGCACTCTCCACCTCGGCTGCGGAGCGGGGACTGCCGCGTCATCTCGCCTCCGCCTCCACTGCATTCTGGAAGTTGTAGTCAAAATCCGCCTCTCCTGGCCGGAAGTGGGCTAGAAGGCCGAGGGAGCGGAGACTACAACTCCCAGTTCTCCGAGGGGTGGTGAAATGAAAGCGACCGGAGGAGGAGCCCTCGAAACGGGTGTCTTTGCTGATGATAACTTATGAAAACACTAGCAAGAAAAGAACCGGAGAGTCTGAGAACCTGGTCCGTGAGAAGGAAAAGGGGTCACAAATAGTTCTCTGTGTGTATGTGTGGGGGATCTTAAGACAAACAGTTGTTTTTGCTCTTTGCAAAAAACCCTAAAAAGTAAGAGCCTCTTAGCATCAGGGTACTTAATTAAATCTGCTGGCACTGTGCATCTTGCTCTGTGCAGCTTTCTTGAACCATAATGACCTCTTTGGTATCTCAGTTGATCTGATTTAAATTCTGAAGCATTAGGCTTGTGGAAAGCTGAGGTATGTTGATGTTTAATAGGAGTTCCAAAGTCATTTGAGTTCTTTCTGACTGGTAAGCTAATCATGTGGCCTTGCATTCAAGGAGATCACAGTTAAGGGCAGTCTGGTGAACTTAGATTGGGTGGCTTGCCCTTGGGACTTGCCTGAATAACAAGAAAACCTGCGTGTTGACTTATTTAATAGTTCTCAGGAGAGTAAAAAAAACAGCGTGGAAGTGGGTGGCAGGAATCTCAGAATCAATCCTTTTTGCCTTTTATAATTGCAATTGCCTACTTATATCCCAAAGGAGCTCTGGTGCATGGTTCATGTTTGCTGGACTGTTCACCGAAAGGTCAGCGGTTTAAATCCACCAGGTGCTAGAAGATTGATAAGATTTAGTTTAGGAGGCCCATTGGAGGGTGGCCAGGAGTTGAAAGTGACTTAACAGTGGATTTGTTTTTGGGATTGGTACATATCCAAAGTATGATCTTTTGCCTGCTGCAGTAGTCCTGCCTAAATCCAGGATAAATTATAACTGATGATTTATCTCTGAATCTTATAAATAAAAACTATGGCCATGACTCAGTGGAATACTCAGCATTAATGCTTATGGTCTTTATTAATCCAGAATGATTTTGTCTGTCTTGTTTTGCTTTGGTAGTGTATTGAGATACATTCTGGGCTTCTCACCAAAAGATTTTAATCACCATTGCCTCCGTGAAAGAAAGAAGGGTAGTTTCCTAAGAATTTAGTTTCAAAAATCCTATAGAAAGCCACTAAGTTGGAAAATACTCCAGAGCACTGGATTAAAGAGTCTCTGCAGAATATGCTTGCATTTGACTTGTCTTTCCCCCCCACCACCCCCCCCAACAGATACCAGAATCACTTATTCCTCTTTCCTGTAGGGAGACCATGCCAAAACCCCAGAAGAGACGGACAAGGACTCTTAGGCCAGGTAAGCTGCACCTAGGCTGCAGGGAGTGTTTCTCCAGGACCTCATGAATACTGTCCACTTGTATACTCCCTATTTGTGGGGATAACTTCTTAGGTAATATTTTTATTCTGTCATCCCTCATCACCTCTCACTTTTTAGTTTTTCAGCAAGCCTGTGCTTATTTGTTCACTTGAGCAACTGCTATTTGTTGAGACCGACCATTCTCCTTCTCCATTAATTGCAATTCAAGGTGACAAATAAGAAAAATACAAATATAGAAAGCAATTCCTGCTTTTAGAGAACATACAAACATAGGTTAAAGCATCCTAGAAATGTCACTGTATGATAGGAGAGGAAGGAGAAACCACAGAGATGGCTTTGAGAAGAAAGCAGGATGTGAGGCTCACCTGAAAGCCTGAGAAGGAATTCCACAAAAATGTGAGACTATCCTATGGATAGTAAAGTGGATAAAGAGCAGCAACAAATTGAATGTTATATAGTCACATATATAGTGTTCACAGTGCCTATTATCTCTTAACACCTACAAAATATTTTTTATTATTATTAAATTTTATTAGTTTTAATGAACATTTACAGAGATTTTGGGTTTTCATTCCTTCATTGTTGTAC